GCCGCCATAAAAATGGCGGCCATCTTGGATTCGGGAAAAAAAATTTTCATCGTAATACCTGTATCATGACGAAGTTAAATGCCAAATTTAAGGTTTCTAGGTCCAGAAATAAAGGAGTTAGCTCGCTTGTGGGACCCCCCTACCCTTAAAAAGTAAGGCTTGTCATGCGTGGACGAAATAGTGGAAACAACACCTGTCCTCCGTTACACTCAGAGGCAAACAATCAGGTGGTTTGGACATTCTGACACATATTGTGCATATATGGATAGCAAGGTACAAGGCAAGAGAAAGGCCAAGGAGGACCTGGATTGAGGGTGTGAAGGATACCCTGAGGATCCACAACATCCCACCCAGCCAGGCCATCCAGCTTGCCAGAGACAGAAAGCTTTTTTAGTTCTCCCTTCGACGCCTTTGATGGTTCAAGAGGAAGGAGAAAGCAAAGTAAAGTAAGCTTACTTTATCAACGTTGTATCCAGTGCTAAAGTTATAGAAGACAATCTTCTGAGCTCCCAAAACCTTGTTGAGCTCTATCATCTCCACCAGCTCGTAAGCTCTGCTGTACCGGAAGTTGAGGGGCGTTACGCAGACTGTAAAATCTCGTAACGTCGAGTTGGAGACTTCCGAAAGGAATAAGAGGTTTGGAGCGACGTCGCATTTCTTGACGACGACACTAACGGCGACCAGACGAGACCCATCCCTTTTGGCTGCCAGGGGGCACGTTAGCAAAGATGTGGTGAAACTGGAAATGACAAAGAGAAAAAGCGATTGTTAGACCTTTTTTTAAAACTTCAATCAAATATCGGCGTAGAGAATCCAAAAGCAACAATGCAAGTTAAAATATCGTAAGTGTTAAATCAATTCAACACAGACCGTTCAAATTCTGTTGGTGTTATATTAAGAGAAAGTATTGAAATATTAATTTCAGAGAACGGGGGAAAGGGGGGGGGGGGAGAAACGTATTGCAAATATGATATCATTATAAGCCCTTAGGCGGTGTGAAATTGTGTGCTAAAGCTCGAGCCCAGCCTTTTTGGGATCTGTTTCGTTTTGTTTTGCTTATCATGCGAACTATTTCCTTGTATGCATGGAAGGAGAGAGAAATACGTTCAATAGCAATAATATAACCGATCATATGATAGAATGGTATTATTTGCCTGAATATGGCACCCCCAGCTGTGGATAATAAAGAGCTAGTGTGGCAATCATGTAGGATTGGCCAGGCTGAACGTTTGCCCAAGTGTCCTTAATTTCTACTCTTTATTATAACACTGATGAATCTATGAGCTCAATTAGACTGATTTCTTTGTTATATTTACTGTAGACTAGGGATGAGTTGATGTCGCCGGAGGAGTGAAGAAAAGATCAACTCATTCGAAGTTCAACTTAACTGTTGGGACCTATAAAGATCTAGAGGTGCTGGCACCTGAGAAAAAGGTAAACATAACAGAAGATCAACTCAAGCGATTTCAACCAAAATGGAGTCAACTACTGTAATTGTTTTTACGCCCCCTTCAAAGCACGTTTAAATCATTGAGGAGGTGGACTTCCGACCCTGCCTGTCAGGTCCACCCAGGCTGAGAGGGATAGGCCTACCTTCCAGCAGAAAGACGGCCATATTTGATACAAGATGTTATCCCTACTCGGTAATCGAACTTGGGTCTCCCGTGTGCGACTGCGAAGAGCCTAATCGCTACACCAGAGGCGCCGTTACTTGGTATGGGGGATTCTTTGCATAAGCGTTCTAATTTCCATAAAATCTCAATAATAAAGCTGTGGCCTCTCTCAATTCACGGAGACGCAGTCACTAGGAACGGGATAATTGTGTTGAAATTTTCAAAACAGAGGAAATGTGGTCGTTGTGTGCCATTTGTTGCAATAAAATAAAAGCAATGGTTGAAAGGGGACACGTCATTGAAAGAAGCACACTCCGAAACTTGCAGCTGAAACACCAAAGAGAAGACCAGAGGGGTGTTTATGTAAAAGAGAGGTTTTAGCTAGAGTTGTCGTGTCTTGCCCGAGGCCACATCCAAGTGACCACTCGACATTGCTTGGCCTTATTTTTGGGTCTGAACTCACTACTCGTTCGGTTACTGGCATCCCCATTAAAAGCGTTTTGCCGGCAGGCAAATAGAGACACAGAAACATGGGCATTTTCCTCAACACCCGCTTTCTATCCCTGTAATGTATGCCTTATTGAACATACTTCCTCTCATTCATAATCGTATCCCCTCTGCACCAAAGAGTACCATTATTCTTTTTTTCGCGTTCTTTGTGGCCAAACATACTCGTGTTTACCTGCCTCAAAGACCCGCTTTTGTATTTTCACACAATCTCAAACAAGGTATATCGATAATCAATCAGACGTGAATGGTTAGTTATTGACACGCTGACCGCCATGTGTGTTTTACTATCGCCCGGAAGGTAAAAATAGCCCTGGAGGCGAGCGGTAGATTGGAGAAAGGGTTTTCATGGACGGTACCTCGACGCTTTTAGCAAGTACTTTGTAACTTGATCGGAAGTAGGTCGGTGACCGCAGTGGGTTTTGTTTTGTTTTGTTTAGTTTTGGGGTTGTTGTCTTTTGGGAGCGGGGAAAGAAGTGGTTTGAATGTGCAAGAGAGATATATGCAAAGAACGAGAGAGATTTGGG